AGTCCATGGAGAAGGACATCATGCTTGGTAGGGTAGAGGGTCAGTGAAAGAGAGGAAGACCCTCAACCAGATGGATTGACAGTGACTGCAACACCGCAATGATTGTGAGGATGGCTCAGGATGGGGAAGTGTTTTGTTCTGTTGTACGTAGGGTCCCTATGAGTCGGAAGCGTCTTGATGGCATCTTTAACAAAAATAGCAACAACTTAATATGAAGGATAAACATGAAAAAACTTAGATTTATGGACAATTTTGAATGGATTGTAGGCTTCTAATTATGAAATATTGCAAACATACAGCAAAGTACAGTGAATAGTACAGCAAATACCTCATTACGCAACAGCTAGATTTAACTTTTTTCCCTTCACATGTATCCAGTTTTAGACATTGGTATATGTAAACATGTATAAGCTCATATGGTGGTTTGTCATTGATTTGAAACTTATCTCATTTATTATATGCTTTCTTAAATAGTTGAAGGGACAACCAAAAGAGCTAAGATTGCTTGTAATACTCATGTGGCCCCTAGGATGCACCGCATGGTGGTGATGAGTCAGGTTTACAAGCAGACGCTGGCCAAGAGCTCAGATACTCTTGTGGGCGCGCACGTAAAGATCCATCGGTGCAACGAAGCTTTCATCTACCTGCTCTCTCCCTTACGGTAAGCACAGTCTGCAGAGCGTGCTGACATTTTGACATTTTCTTTGCACTAGAATTGATCCTTGTTTTGCCCCTGAGAACGGTATTTTAGCGAAATAGTGTTTATCTAATTCTCATTCAGAAGCATTTCCGTCATCTTTTCATTTTTCAGATCTGTGACAATCGAGAAGTGCAGGAATAGCACCTTTGTCCTGGGCCCTGTACAGACTGCTCTTCACCTCCACGGCTGTGACAACGTTAAAGTCATTGCTGTCTGCCATCGTTTGTCCATCTCTTCCACAACAGGTTGCGTCTTTCACATTCTGACGCCTACGCGCCCACTCATTTTCTCTGGCAACCAGACAGTAACTTTTGCCCCTTTTCATACCCATTACCCAATGCTGGAGGACCATATGGCCAGGACCGGCCTTGCTACAGTGCCTAACTACTGGGATAATCCGATGGTTGTGTGCAGAGAGAGCAGCGACACGAGTGTCTTCCGGCTCTTACCACCTTGTGAATTCTATGTATTTATTATTCCCTTTGAAATGGAAGGGGACACAACAGAGATACCTGGGGGTCTTCCGTCTGTATACCAGAAAGCACTGGCTCAAAGAGAGCAGAAGATACAGATCTGGCAGAAAACTGTGAAGGAGGCTCGTTTGACAAAGTGAGTATTTTCTAGAAGTAATTGTCTTTTA